ATGAAAAAACTAAACCATACTTTTGTTATTTTAATTTGTTGGTCTTGGCTTGGTCACAGAAGGAGCTTATTTACTATCGCCACAAAGAATCTGGATATGTGATATTTGATTTTAGACCTTTGATCAATTTTGGAGAGAGTATTTGCTTGGAAAACTCTAGTGGGTCTAGTTTTATAGACCAAGAAGTTATTCACCAATTGATAAGCAATCATGGAGGATTACAGGGTCTTTTTCTCTTTCGCCCAAGTTGCAGTGACCAAACATTTTATGGCATCGTAGAACAATCAATAATTCGATGTCCACTATGCAAATGTATAATTAGGTGAATTACATGATTTAATAGTCTATTGAATATGTGAGAATCAAAGAAATATTGTTTGAGTGAGTCGTCGTGCTTTTCTCTATTTGGTTTTCATTATTAGCTTTTTTCTTGTCTTGTAATTATTTTAATGGAAAGAAATTATATATCCATGTTAAATCGTTTTAATTTATTTTATGATTGAACTATTTTTCCTACTTTGAAGAATGTGTATTTATTTGTTGTTTGTGGACTAAATTACACTTTTAATTTGGTATAATGTTTGATCCACAATTTTAGTCCTTTAATTTTTTATTTCACAATTTTAGTTCTCCAATTTTAACAAAATCACAATTTTGATCCCTATATCAAATATTCATCCATTGATCGTTAGAATTATAGCGTTGACATTAAGTAAATGATATGATAATTAAAATTTAATAATATTTAGACTAATTTATATTTATTATTTCTATTTTTTTATTTTATTTTCATCTTTTTTGACCACTTTTGTGACACCCTCTACCCCAACATTAATACACTATAAATGTAAATAATAATTTTTTTTTCTTTTTGAGTAAATAAAATCTTTCATAGTGACAACCTCTTTCATGGATAAAATAATTGTCTCAAATATCATAAGGTAAAAGATTCACATTCGTAACTTATAAATCATAAAAAAGTCAACATGTAAGTATTAAAAACTCAAGAAATCATAGATTAATTCCAGCAAAGGTGGTAGTGCCTCCTAGTTAGGAATTAATTTATAACTTTCAAATCATGTAATAAAAATAATATGACAAAAGTGCACATTTTGGTCTTTTATCAAGAACGTTCAAATTACAAAAGAAAAGAAAACTAGGGCTTTTAAAACAATAATATTCCAAACTAAGCCTAGCTATCCCCGATGTCACATCCTATCAGAGCATGCCCAACTAAAGCCTTAAGCCTCATCACCAACATCCTCATGATATGATCGCCTGCAACATAATTTAAACATATACAAGAACAACAAGGGAGTGAGAAACATCTCACTCAGTTTCAAGTGCAAAAATAAAGGTTAGATAGTACACACACAACAAATATAAGTTACATGTAAACAATACACATACATAATCAATATCAAATGTACAATTTATCATGTTATGATGTCATGGACTCGACTCATAAATGCATGCATGTGGCGCCATAAGGAAGTTTCACGTTTCATCACTGGTGACCCTAAGGTACACCTGGTTACATCACCGGTGACCCTAAGGTACACCTTGTTAGCTTGTTACATCACCGATGACCCTAAGGTACACCTTGTTAGCATCACCGGTATGCGGCCTCAGCGGCACACCTAGAGTCATATATGTATATGATGCATGTCACACATTCATTATTTCATTGACTCAATATTTGACTTATTACAGAGTTCCATTTAGTACATCATGTCATCATTTTTCATGTTCTCATAATCATAGCTTGTCTCATGGTCCATTCTTATGTCTCATGTCATTTGTACATATTTCACGTAGTCATGTCATAATTACTCCTCATAAGGTCCGCACAGGAATCCACAGAGAACATTCTTATTCATATTAAAACTCATTTATTTTTACCATTAATTTCATATTCATTATTATTTCCAACAAGGAACAAAATACAGTAAACAGAAAATAAAATAGAACACATTAATACTTTGCATGTTCAAAGAAGCATGCCATAGGCAAGGGATTGAGGGCCAATCCGACAATCAGACTATCCAACAATTATCCCCACATCCCAGAGCGAGGTTTCTCACTCCCCCCCTTACCTCGATAAACAGGAGTTAAAACTTGAGCAGGACCTTGTTACTTTCTTCCCTCTGGATTCACTCTTCCTTTCTCTCTCTCTCTCTCTCTTTCTCTCTCTCTCTAAAATTTTCACCTTCTCACTCAGTTATAAATTTTTCACCCCCTGCCTCCTATTTATAGGCATTCTGGTGTACTCAGAACGACCCGTACTGAATTCGGAACGGCCCGTTCCGGATCCTTCGAAGGTATGCAAAATTTTCAACTGGAACGACCCGTTCTAAAATCAAAATGACCCGTTTTCAAAAAGCAGAACGGCCCGTTCTAAAATCAGAACGGCCCGTTCTAGAGTTCATGTTAACACACATTGACTATTATTGGAATGCCGCGTTTCTAACTAAACTTTTTAAGTACTTTTAGAAATTCAGAACGGCCCGTTTTTCTTTGGGAACGACCCGTTCTAGAGAAACCCAAATAGGTCTTTTTACAAATTTGAAACGGCCCATTCCACTTTTGGAACGGCCCGTTCTGCTACTTCAAAAATAGTATATTTTTTTTTGTTTGGAACGGCCCGTTTCACTTTTGAAATAGCTCATTCCGGCATAAAGAAACAGAATGTTATATAAAATTTTTCATAAATAATTAAATTATTTCAAACCTTTAAAATATTTTATAAACCCTTTAATTAAATAAAATAACTATATAAAAATAAATAAGAATCAACATTGTATTAATAGAAAATTCAGGGTGTTACAATTTTTATTAGATAAAAAAATTGAACTAAAAGTAAAATTTAGTCAAAATCTTATTAAATGTTAATTATTATGTTATTTATTTAATATTAGATCATGATCAATATTACAATTTTCAATGATCAATGAATAAATATTAAGCAAGATATCAAAATTGTTGATCAGAGATCATAGGAGGCAAAAAGTATAATTTATCCTTATATATTTATATGCTTCCTTAAGCTTTGTAAATTGAAAAGTAAAAAAGTTTCATCCAAATTTGAACAATCGATTTTATTTGCACCATTAAAAATAAAATAAAAAAGGCAAAAAATTCATAAACAATTTTTTTTAATTAATAAAAATAAAATTTTAATTATAACACTAAATGAAAATGAATAAATAATAAAATGAAAAAGAGGTAGAAATAGGCTAGGCATTTTAGGCTTAAGCCTTCATTGAAAATGTATGTACTAAGATAGCTTGATTTCCTCTTTTAGGTCTTTCATAAATGCTTAGATTGATTGTCATGATAGTTATTTGGTCTAACCCACAAGTCTATCTAAGGATATACTTTGTAATAGTTTAACACCAAGATAGACATGAAAACATATATGCTAGGCTTTATTAAAAAAAATGAATTTAACTTGTTCATATGATATAAATATAACATTTTAGACATATAGAAAAGAGAGAGATCCAAAAGTTGTACAATTGAACATAAGTTAAAGGAATTGATTACTTCTATCTTTATTAATAAGATTCATCTACTTTTTAATAGTTCATTATTTGATAAATACATAATTAAACGTGCTTAACTTGGATTAATTTAAGGATGTATGAAATTCTAATAAGTTTTTCAAAAAATTTGTGATTAAGAACAAAGTACAATGAAAAGTACTATTGTTGGTTTGTAGAGACAATCTTTAATCTTTAAGTTCATGGACATCTTAGAAAAGGCTACTCAATAAGGAGGATTTTAGTTGGTGATGGGTTCTAAAAAATGAGGAGTTAAGCGAATTGTCATTATGTGAAGTATTATAGAATGCAGTTATTTAAACATCAAATTTGGGGGTGATTACAAATGATATTAGAGTAGATTCATTTTTCCTAGAATGACGTGATTTGGAGACGAACCAAATAGAAATTAGGGAATTTGTAACATTGCACACCAAAATAAAAGAAATCCAAGATTGTACAATATAACTTAAAGAAATTAATATGATTACTTTTAATTAATTCTACCATAAATACAAGTTTTATTCCAAATACACTTTTCACTCTAAGTGCACATTTAATGTTAGTTATAAATAAATGCATTGAAAATATTAACGGTTAGTTAATGATATAAAATAAATTTAACCCAAGTAACTTTAAAAATTATTAATTAATGATTATAATTAGAATCAAAGAAAAAAATCATTTTGTTGCTTATAATTAAGATTATAGGTAGTATTACATATACCAACAAGATGCTGATATGTGTATTTCAAAATTAAAAATAATTATTATTTCAAAATAATCAACTTGATCCAAATTTTAAAAAAATAAAAAAACTAAAATAAATATTTAAAAATACAAAACCAAAATAAATCTTAAAATTAAAGACTAAAAATATAATTTAATATTTATAAGAACCCCTCTTAAAATTTCCCAAAATTCTTTCTTTATTTATACATATTCCCCCCCTTTTTTTTATCGGACTGGAATCATTAAATCTCCTCATTGATGATTTTCATAACTTTTTTTTTTATTACGTCTCCAGTTTATCTTAACCGATTATTTATATTTTTTGTTTTATATTACACCAACGTAGCATAGAAAAGAAATCATATAACTTCTTCATCTAATTTTTTTCTTTTTTCTATTTTTACTTATTTAGAATAGTTAATGTTACGTCAACATTAAATCAGCATAATTAAGAATTAACTCTTAAATTTAGAAATGTACGTTTAGATAAACAAAAGCAAAAAGTAAAAAAAAGAATAATAATAATAATAAACAAAATATCAATTGTTTTATGTTATTCGCAACACATATCACTGCTTTTCAATAAATCTCTTCCTTTTACCAGATTAGCCCGAACCGCTTCGCGATGTCAAACGTGTCAAAGCCATACTCTTCTCGTTCTTCATAGCATGACACTTGTTCCACCGCAATCACACACACTTCACCCTATATACATACCAGACCTAATACACAAACACACACCAACCTTCACCCATAGCAAAATTCACCAAAGAAAAAAAAACCATGGCTACTAGCACCGAATTCACGTTGGCTTCACCAGCATGTGACAATGGTAAACTCCCAAAGTATTGCACACAAGAAGGGGTAGGCACAAAGTGGGACGTGTCACCCCCATTGGAATGGCACAACGTGCCTCCAAAAACGAAGAGCATGGCCCTAGTGGTGCAGGACATTGATTTCGTGGACCCAAAGGGATGTGAGGTGGCACTGACGCACTGGGTGGTGGTGAACATTCCCGTGACCATGAAGGGGCTTCCCCAAGGGTTCTCTGGGACGGGAGAGGAAGAGGGTGGCATTGAAGAAGGGCTTAACGATTGGAAGGTGAGGGTGTGGCGTGGTCCCAAAATGGCTAACTATGGTGACACGTTCCAGTTCAGGCTCTATGCTCTCGATGATCACATGCACTTTCATAACCAGGTATACGTAGTATAACTGTAATAAAAGTTATCTAAAGTATAATTTTTTTAACTTCATATAATTTAATTCACCCATGGAGACTTTACTTCTTAAAGGAACACCCTAGCTGATGATTTATTTTATTATATACTACTTCAGATTTATTATCCAACAAATCTATTAGAAAAGTTATCATAACATTACTATTTTAATATCTTACAAATTCAATAAATCAAACTAAATTTATTGAAATTTGATATCTATTTTAATTTAAGATTGGTAGTGCAGAATAATTCACAAAGATGATTGTTCATATTATATTTATGTTACATTCATTTATTTGAAGAAAACTGCCGTATAATTTTTTTTTATCTATTTATTAATTAAAAAGGAATTTTGCATGTTTTTATTTCCTTACCACTATCAATATACTCTAGCCTAAATTATCCTAAATTAAACTTATACTATTTTCGTTAATCCGTAAATTTAGTTTTTCTATACAATATAAGAAGACATTTAGTAATATATTTACTTAAATTTTAATATTTACTCATACTTAACTAACATAATAATATAACATTTGAAAATATTTTTTTTTAAATATGCAAATAAAATTTTTATTAACAAATAAATATCAATCACATCTAAAAATTAGATAAAAAATATTTTTAGATTTTTATTAATAAATAAATGTCAACCACATCTAAAAATTAGATAAAAATTAAAAGAGATTTTTCATATTGTATTTTTTTATTTTTTATCTTTATGAAATTCATCATTTTTAAAAATAAAAGATTAAATATTTTTATTTTAAAATAAAAAGATTAAACTATAAAATAATTTAAATAGAAAAACTTATAAAGTGTAATTTAACTTATATTCTACTATTTTTATTAAAGCATAGAAATTTATAGTTCCTTTTGAAAAAGGAATGTGATGCATATATTTAATCTAATTTATAAAATAAATGTAAGAAAGCCTTTGTTCGAAACATTGGCAGGTGACAAGAGCGAAGCTCCTGGACGCAATGGCAGGGCATGTAGTTGGAGAAGCCGTTTTTACTGCTACTTTCTGATACATGTATTGCTAATTTTAATATATATATATATATATATTTTTAATAAAAATGGTAGACCAAGACGATATTATTAGATAAGATGTTAATATTTTGTGTTTGTTTTCTTGTTTAATATTATTCTCCATGTATTTTATTCCAAGTTTCCTACATTATTATTAATCTCCATGGTGTTTGAAATATTTACTACGGAATTTAGTTTTTTTTTTAACTCTTTTAAAACATATTGTATCCAATTTTTTTTAGGACCTACGTTCCAAAATTGATAACTAATTTTATCAAAGTTGATAATTAACAACTACTATATATATATCGGGTCCAACTTTAATATATATATATATATATATATATATATATATAGTGAAAAAATAATAATGTTTAATTCAAAACTGATAAACAACTAATTTATGTTTCGTAAGATGTGATTTTAATTAAAATATAGGTATTTTTCTCAAAAATGATGGTTAACCAATAAAAGTCAAGTTTCATTAATAATAGATTTTTTTTTATTGTAGGCCTTAAAATAATGCGTAAGCTTATCATTAAAAAAAAGCCAGAGTTCGTGAGGGAAAACAAGCTTTATTTAATTAATTAAAGTAGTAATTTAAACTAGGGCCTAAACAGTCATTGAATTCGCTGACGTCATAATCACTTTGGTTAGATATCTCGTTTGGTCCCTTACAATATTTTTTATTTTAATTTAGTCTCACTTTAATTTTAGGTCTCAATTTGGTTCTTAATAAATTAAATCATTGCAATTTAGGATTTCCGTCTAAATGATTTAAACAGAATTAACTGATGGTCACCTGGATACTAGGTGGATGTCACATAGATGTCACGTAAGTTGATTCCAAAACACTGGAATACACCTGGAACCAGAATGGCCCGTTCTGAAATCAGAACAGCCTATTCTGGTTACATTATTGGTGTGTAAATTTTGTACCTGGAACGGACCGTTCTGGTTTCTGTAACGACCCGGTTGGTCACTACACACGGCACTACATACTAGAAACACCGCACAGAAAAAGAACAATTGTATACATATAGAGTCTAGAATATACATATACATGATCTAATCTGAACAGAGTTAAAGTGTACAAAATTACAATCAAATGCTACTATCCCAAGTAGCTCAACAACAAAACAGTCACAAAGGAAAATCAGTTTCGCCGGTCCGCTGAAGACTCACCACTAGACACCCACCTATCCATGCTCTCCTCTCATACATAGTATGATCATTGCAGTCCAAACATCATGAAAACAACAAAAGAGTACAAAAGAGTAAGCTAGTGTAATTAAAAATCAACATACAATTATATGACAATATAATAAACAACAGCTACAGTTATCAGCACACCTGTACCGCTTATACCACTCAACAATATTAGCACCGCAATACGGCAATATTAGCACTGCTTAGCAGCAATCACAGCACCACTCAAGTGGCTATAACAGCACTGTAAAGCGGCAACAACAACACCGACTTAGCGGCTATAATAGCACCACATATGTGGCTAATAACAGCACCGACTTGGCGGCTATAATATCACTCAACTCAGCACAGCACAGCACTTCAACACACTTATTTTTTTTTCACAATTCAGTCCAACATTCTATAGTTTCACTACACTATAAAATTTTACATTTTTAACTCATCGATTTCACTTAACAATATACCTCTAATACAGCTAAACATTATTATCTCAGCTTTATCACCTAGTCACCATGGCGTATTCATCAAATAAAACTTAGTTCAGCATATAATAACATTGATTAACAATCTCAGCCCAATTCAACAGCCAACAGCATATATGTCAATATCTCCTTGCGCGCCTAGCGCACTCGAGGTCGCACCCAGCGCGGCTCAACCAGAGAGTACCAGGGGCCAGCGCGCCCAGCGCAAGAGTACTCGCGCCCGACGAGACTCAACCCGAGAGTCCAAGGCTCTCACGCGCCTGGCGCAATTCCAATTGCGCCCAGCGCTTACCAGGCAAAGACTTTAAGGAGTCTCGTGCGCTTAGCGTGGCCTAACTTGCACCCTGCATGGGGAAGGTAGAGACCTACCAAGGTCTCGCGCCTGGCGCAATTCTCATTGCGCCTAGCGCCTCTTGGCAGAGACTCCCAAGGAGCCTCCGCGCCTAGCGAGTCCAAACGCGCACCTAGCGCGGCACCAGAGTACCCAAAACATGTCACCATTGATATCGCGCCCGGCGCAGCTCAAGTCACGCCCGGCGTGGACCAACCAGAGACTCCCATTTGCAAGCTCGCCCGACGTAAACAGCTTTGCGCCCGGCGGGCTTGCCTAAACAGAGTCCCCTGGTGGTCACGCGCTCGGCGCGAGAAACAGCTTTGCACCCGACAGGCTTGCCTAAACAGAGTCTCCTGGTGGTCACGCGCCCGGCGCGAACTCAGCAGCAACTCTCCCTAAGTTCGAAATTTGTCCAAATCCTGCAAAACTTAACAGCAAATCCACATGCAATCCAGCCAAAAGTTCCCATTCTCATCAAATATCAATAAAAACGCCTTATTTTCAACATGCAAAAACAAATCAAGAATTTCCCAAAATTTCCCCAAAGACCCCGAAAAGCCCCAAATCATCAATTTCAGCAGTTCTCAGCTCAAATGTAGCAAATATCATACCACCCAAGAGTTCTTAGAACTCGTTTTCAGCCAAACAAAACAAAGGACTAGCTTCCCTTACCTCGGTAGAAGAATCCGAGCTCCGGGAAGAAGAAACGGAAGAGAAAAAGCTTGAAAGAGATCAACGGGAGAAAAGATTTCCAGCTTTCCAGCTAGCTTTCAATCACGAGAATCAGCCCCTACACACCCACGAATCCAGAGAATTGGGACCAAGGAAAGCAAAGGGAAGAAGAGAGTGAAATATTCAAGTGAGAGTTTAGAGAGAAAAATGAGTAGGAGAGGGTGAGGGTGAAATGGGAAAAAGGGGTAGGGTCTCACAACCTCCCCAACAACAGGAGTTTTCATCCCCGAAAACAGACTTACTTGGGAAAAGAAACGGATACCGCTCCCTGTACTGCTGCTCCACCTCCCAAGTAGCCTCACTGGTAGCCGCATCCCACAGGACTTTCACCAGAGCAACGGACTTGCCCCTCGGCTCCTTTAGCTTATGATCCACTACAGCCACTAGCAACTTCTCATATGTCAGGTTCTCCTTCACTTGTACATCGTCCAGTTCCACCACATGACTAGGGTCATGAATATACTTCCTTAGCTGAGACACATGAAATACATCGTGTAGGTTTGAAAGAGACGGTGGCAAAGCCAACCGATAAGCAACCGGACCTACACGCTGTATGATCTGATAGGGATCCACAAACCTTGGTGTCAGCTTTCTTGCCCTTAACGCTCTTCCCACCCCTCAGCGCTCTTCCCACACTAGAGGTCGGAGTCACCTTCAGGAACACATGCTCCCCTTCGACAAACTCCAAAGGCTTACGCCTCCTGTCAGCATAAGATTTTTGCCTACTCTGACAGTCTTCATCTTCTCTTGAATCATCTTCACCTTCTCAGTAGTCTGTAGGATCAGCTCCGGTCCCACAACCACTGACTCACCATCCTGATACCAGCACAGAGGAGTCCTACATCTTCTGCCATACAAGGCTTCATATGGCGCCATCCCAATACTAGCATGAAAGCTGTTGTTATAAGTGAACTCCACCAGCGGTAGGACCTCCTCCCAGCTACCCAAGTGGTTTAACACACAGGCCCTCAACAGATCCTCCAAGGACTGGATTGTCCTCTCTGACTAACCATTCGTCTGTGGATGATAAGCAGAACTTAGCTTCAGCTTCGTGCCTAGGGCCTGATGTAGACTCTGCCAAAATCTGGAAGTGAACCTCGGATCTCGGTCAAAAATAATACTAGAAGGCACTCCGTGCAACCGTACTATCTCCTTCACATACAACTGTGTCAGCTTCTCCAAGGACCACTTGATGTTGACAGGCAAGAAATGCGCACATTTGGTCAACCGGTCAACAATCACCCAGATAGTATCACTATTCCTAGCTGACCTAGGCAACCCCACAATAAAATCCATAGTAATGCTATCCCATTTCCACTCGGGAATCTCAATCTGTTGCATCAACCCACTCGGCTTCTGATGTTCAACCTTTGCCTTCTAACAGGTCAGACAAGTCGCCACATACTCAGCTATCTCCCTCTTCATACCAAACCACCAGAAAGTCTTCTTGAGGTCTTGGTACATCTTAGTCATACCCGAATGTATGCTAAGTCTGCTCTTGTGACCTTCCTCCAACACAGCTCTCTTCAGCTCAGCATTCTGAGGTAGGCAAATTCTGCCCTTAAACCTCAAGATTCCATTTTCTCCCAGCTCAAAGCCAATAGCCTTCTCGGTACCCAGCAAACCAAGAAGCTTCACCAGCTCGGCGTCTTGCAACTGCTTAAGTCCAACCTGCCTCAAGAACTCCTTAGTTATGGTAATCATCTCACAGCTAATGTGATCCTGAGCTAACTCCACACAGAGATTCAAATCTCTGAACTCCTCAACCAGTTCCAGCTCCTTCATCATCATACTCGATATGTGGATGGATTTCCTACTCAGCGCATCTGCCACCACATTGGCCTTGCCCGGATGATACTTCAACTGAAAATTGTAATCCTTCAGAAACTCCATCCACCGCCTCTGCCTCATGTTCAGCTCCTTCTGATCAAACAAGTACTTCAGACTCTTGTGATCACTGAAGACGCTGAACCGAGCACCATACAAGTAATGCCTCCATATCTTCAAGGCAAACACCACAGCGGCTAACTCCAGGTCATGAGTAGGATAATTCCTTTCATGATTCTTCAGTTGCCTTAAAGCATATGCCACCACTCTCCTGTTTTGCATCAGCACACACCCCAGACCCTGATGAGAAGCATCACAGTACACATCAAAAGACTCACCAGAATCCGGCAACACCAGCACAGGAGAAGTGGTCAATCTCCGCTTTAACTCCTCAAAACTCCGCTCACAGGCGTCTGTCCAGATGAACGGCTGCTCCTTCCGTGTCAGCTGGGTTAGAGGCGCTATTATCTTAGAGAATCCTTCAATGAACCTTCGATAGTAACCCGCTAAACCCATAAAACTCCTAATATCCGTGACAGCCCTTGGACGTTCCCACTACAACACCGACTCCACCTTAGCCGGATCAACAACAATCCCCTCAGCTGAGATCACATGTCCCAAGAACTTTACCTCATCCAACCAGAACTCGCATTTTGAAAGCTTAGCATATAGCTGCTTCGCCTTTAAAATCTCCAGCACTGTCCTCAAGTGTTCACCGTGCTCTTCCCGGGTCCTTGAATAAATCAAGATGTCATCAATGAAAACCACAACAAACTTATCCAAGAACGGCCGGAAGATCCTGTTCATGTAGTCCATGAACACTGCGGGGGCGTTGGTCACACCGACGACATCACAACATATTCATAGTGACCATACCTAGTCCTGAAAGCAGTCTTCGGTATGTCACCCTTCTTCACCCTAATCTGGTGATAGCCTGACCTTAAGTCAATCTTGGAAAACACCGATGCTCCCCTCAGTTGATCCATTAAGTCATCTATCTGGGGAAGTGGATATTTGTTCTTAATGGTCAACTTGTTCAGATGTCGGTAATCAACACACAGTCGACTACCTCCATCCTTCTTCCTTACCAATAACACTGGAGCACCCCACGGCGAAACACTCGGCCGCACCAACTGTTTTTCCAACAGGTCTTCCAACTGACCCTTCAGCTCAACCAGCTCAGCAGGAGCCATCCTATAGGGAGGCACAAACACTGGTCCCGCACCTGGAACCAAGTCAATGCTAAACTCCATCTCCTTAACAGGAGGCAACCCAGGCACCTCATCGGGAACACCTCAGCAAAATCCCGCACCACATCAATTTCAGCAATGACCCTCTCGGTCTCAACACAACGCAGCAAGCAGAAGACAACACTTTGCTCCATCTCTCAACAATGATTCAGCTTGACCAGCTGAAATCAACTCATCCTCCATCTAGGGAAAAATCAGCCTCCTATTGGCACAATCTATAAGGATGCGATTGGCAGACAACCAATTCATCCCTAAGATTATGTCAATATCTACCAAAGGAAAACAAATCAAGTTTACCTTATATTCCTTCTCATTCACCACAATCGGACAACCAACACATAACTCAGAAGCAACTACCGAAGCAGAAGCGGGCGTCGACACAAGCAATCTCAACCCCAAATCACACACAAAGTACACTCAACATAGCAGCACATGCATAAGATATAAATGAATGCGTAGCACCAGAGTCAAAAAGAATCATCACATCCTTACCAGCAGCTTTGCCCTTCCCCTTCACAAGCTCAGAAGAAGTCGAAGCCTCACCACCCGTCAAGGCAAATACTCTACCAGTAGTAGTGGGTCTGTCACCCTCTATGTATCAGCTCTCTGTGCACTACTCCTTTGAGTATCAACCCTTTGCACATCACTCCTCTGAGTGCTCCTCTCTGGTCTGTTCCTAGCAGGACAGTTGGCCGACTCGTGACCCATCTGATGACATCTGAAACAACGGCTCTCCGTGTGTGGACAGTCCCTGACAACAGCACACTTGTAGCATCTTAGAGTGACACCTCCACTCTGTCTACCTCCACTAGCAGCACTGGAAGATTGCCTAATAACAGAACGCCCTTGCTGTGGTTGGGGCCTATCATACGGCTTCCTCTGACTCTCACCCTTCTTGGACCTAGATGGCCCCCCAGCAGTCCTCACAGCACGGTTACCACCCTCCAACCGCTCCACCACTTTCGCCTTCTCCACTAAGGCCGGAAACTCAGTGATGGCCATAGGCACCACCACCCTCTTCAGCTCATATTTCAACCCATCAGCAAATTTCCTGCATTTCTAGGCCTCAGCTATACCTTGCGAATAAAAACGAGCCAGGTGCTCGAATTTCATCGCATACTCAGAAACTGTCATTCCTCCCTGATGCAGTCGCATAAACTCTGCCTTCTTGGCATGCCTCACACTTTCCAGAAAGTACTTCTCCATGAACACTGTCCGGAAGCACTCCCAGTCAACTGTAACTCCTCTAGCAGCAAGCATCTGATAGGTGCCTCTCCACCAATGTTCAGCCTCTCCCACCAGCATATACACAACATATGCCAGGCTTTTCTCTGGAGAACATCCCAAAACAACAAAGATCTTCTCCAACTCACATATCCAACGGTCAGCAGCCTCTGGATCCGCATCTCCCGTGAATTGTGGGGGATGGCATTTTCGAAACTCAGCAAGGTCCCGACTCTCCTGTGACACTGTAGGTCTTGCTGCACCAGCTGCAGCTCTCTCAGCCTCCATCCTAGCAAAATAGGCATTTTGCTGCTGCATAGCCATAACCATCATCTCTATGGCACGGGCTATCTTCTCGTTGGTCCTAGTCATCATCTACAAAAGTAACAGCATCTTTAGTAGATAATAACTAAACCAAACAACAATCAACAGCACAACAAATCATCACAGCAAATTCAGCACAGCAAACATCACAGCAAGACAGCACAGCACAGAGCTAACACAACAAAAGCCTAAAGGGACCACACCCAAAGAGTATCCACTGACTCGAATTGCTCTGATACCACTAAAGTGTAACGACCCGGATGGTCACTACACACGGCACAGCACACTAGAAACATCGCACAGAAAAGAACAACTGTATACATATAGAGTCCAGAAGATACATATACATGATCCAATCTGAAGAGAGTTAAAGTGTACAAAATTACAATCAAATGCTACTATCCCAAGTAGCTCAACAACAAAACATCCACAAAGGAAAATTAGCTCCGCCGGTCTGCTGAAGACTCACCACTAGACACCCACCTATCCCTACTCTGCTCCCATACATAGTATGATCATTGCAGTCCAAACATCATGGAAACAACAAAAGGGCAAGCAAGTGTAATTAAAAATCAACATACAATTATATGGCAATATAATAAACAACAGCTACAGTTATCAGCACACATGTACCGCTTATATCACTCAACAATATCAGCACCGCAATACGGTAATATCAGCACTGCTTAGCAGCAATCACAACACCACTCAAGTGGCTATAACAGCACCGCAAAGCGGCAACAACAACACCGACTTAGCAGCTATAACAGCACCACATATGTGGCTAATAACAACACCGACTTGGTGGCTATAATATCACTCAACTCAGCACAGCACAACACAGCACAGCAGCACAACACAACACAACACAACACTTCAACACACTTATTTTTTTTTCACAATTCAGCCCAACATTCTATAGTTCCACTACACTATAAAATTTTACATTTTTAACTCATCAATTTCAACTCAACAATATACCTCTAATACAGCTAAACATTATTATCTTAGCTTTATCACCTAGTCAGCATGGCGTATTCATCAAATACAACTTAGTTCAGCATATAATAACATTGATTAACAATCTCAGCCCAATTTAACAGCCAACAACATATATGTCAATATCACCTTGCGCGCCCAGCGCACTCGAGGTCGCGCCCAGCGCGACTCAACCCGAGAGTACCAGGGGCCAGCGCGCCCAGCGCAAGAGTACTCGCGCCCGGCGAGACTCAACCCGAGAGTTCAAGGCTCTCACGCGCCTAGCGCAATTCCAATTGCGCCCAGCGCCTACCAGGCAGAGACTCTAAGGAGTCTCGTGCGCTCAACGTGGCCTAACCCGCGCCCAGCATGGGGAAGGCAGAGACCTACTAAGGTCTCGCGCCTGGCGCAATTCTCATTGCGCCCAGCGCCTCTTGGCAGAGACTCCCAAGGAGCCTTCGCGCCCAGCGAGTCCAAACGCGCGCCTAGCACGGCACCAGAGTACCCAAAACATGTCATCATTGATATCGCGCCCGGCGCAGCTCAAGCCAACTAGAGACTCCCATTTGCAAGCTCGCCCGGCGCAAACAGCTTTGCACCCGACAGGCTTGCCTAAACAGAGTCTCCTGGTGGTCACGCGCCCGGCGCGAACTCAGCAGCAACTCTCCCTAAGTTCGAAATTTGTCCAAATCCTGCAAAACTTAACAGCAAATCCACATGCAATCCAGCCAAAAGTTCCCATTCTCATCAAATATCAATAAAAACGCCTTATTTTCAACATGCAAAAACAAATCAAGAATTTCCCAAAATTTCCCCAAAGACCCCGAAAAGCCCCAAATCATCAATTTCAGCAGTTCTCAGCTCAAATGTAGCAAATATCATACCACCCAAGAGTTCTTAGAACTCGTTTTCAGCCAAACAAAACAAAGGACTAGCTTCCCTTACCTCGGTAGAAGAATCCGAGCTCCGGGAAGAAGAAACGAAAGAGGAGAAGCTTGAAAGAGATCAACGGAGAAGAGAATAGATTTCCAGCTTTCCAGCTAGCTTTCAATCACGAGAATCAGCCCCTACACACCCACGAATCCAGAGAATTGGGACCAAGGAAAGCAAAGGGAAGAAGAGAGTGAAATATTCAAGTGAGAGTTTAGAGAGAAAAATGAGTAGGAGGGGGTGAGGGTGAAATGGGAGAAAGGGGTAGGGTCTCACAGTTTCAAAACGGGCCGTTCTGGTTCCATAATTTAATCTTTAATTTTTATTTTTTTTTATTTTATTTTTGCTAATCCAATAAAAAAAATTCAATAAAATCCAAGTTATCGAAAATAAAAATTATCAAGGGCGAATATTTACTTAAGTACAAAGCATTTCAAACACTAGATTTTGTAATATTATTAATGGGGATTGATAATTTCAATTGCAAAACATTTGGGCTATACAGTGTATCATTAAGAACGATGCAGTGTATCACTAAGGACAATGGTAACAAGTTTTATTTCATTGTTAGTCAAACTGGAGTGAACCACTTACTACTAAATTGACTCTATATAGTCAGGGATGAAATGAAATGGTGTTTCCCCTTGAAGTCATTGACGATGTACTCCAACAATAACAACCTGTTCTTGAGGAGGTACAACTTGAATTTTTGTGATTTAGGATTTTCCTTCAGCGTTATCCAGATGATTTCCTTTCTCAATAATTTCTTTAAACTTTTTTAGTATATGTTATGTTCTGAATTTTTGTTTTCAGTTTCTGAACCATGTTTCTGTCTTTGAATTTATGATATATTATGAATTTTTATTTTCAATTTTTGAATCACATTGCGACATTTTAGTCAAGATTTTGAACTGGATAAGTTCAAATCAAAGAAGGATTTTAGAAGATCTTATCTTATTTGATTTTTTTTTAATTTTATTCATAAATGAATATTAATTTATTGTATTTTTTATTTATTATATTTTTATTAATATAGATATAATAAAAAAAATACAATTAAAAACATGAATTTGGCGTTCTGGAACGGGCCGTTTTGAATTCAGAACGGCCTGTTCTAGAAGCAGAACGACCCGTTCTAGCAGCATAACGGCTCGTTTTAGAATCAGAACGGCCAGTTCTGGTTTTAGAACGGCCCGTTCTTCTGCACTCATGTTGTGTTAAATTTGCATTTGGAATGGCCCATTCCGGTTGCAAAATTAACACATCAAGAGTGCATCCAGAACGGGTCGTTCTGGTTTCAAGTGTATTCATACAATTTGGCGTCCACGTACACATTCACGTGGCATCCACGTGGCCAACAATTAACCCCGTTTAAATCATTTGGACGGAAGTCCCAAATTGTAATGATTTTAATTATTGGGGACTAAATTGAAACAAAAAATTAAAGTGGGACTAAATTGAAACAAAAAAATATTATAAGGGACGAAAATAAGTATTTAACCTTTGTTTTTTTACCTTTGTTTGGTTTGAGTTTGTTATCTCATTCTTGTGTTTTTTAAATTTTTTTTTAATATCAATTCTATCATGTTTTAAACTTTAATTATTCTCTTCTTTTTATTACAATTTTTTTATTTATGGAAATTATTATAAAGACACCAATATTCAAATTTAATATTTTGTATATATATTATCTCAAGTTCTCAACCCTCATTAATCGGTGAATATTTTTCAATAATTTATTTATTATGAATTAAACACCTTAGGTAATTTGCCATGCTTTTCAAATTTCAAATTTTGGGGTTTGGGGGTTAGGTAGATTTCAAAATTATAAGGTATTTTGTTTTGTGAATTGTAGATTTTTTTTAGAAAATATTTTTAGAATGTTTTTTTTTCTTCATATTTTCGAAATTAATTTTTAGAATATAAATTTATTTTGAAAATACTTTTTAGAAATGTTTCTATTACATAATTGTAAAAATTACTTTTTAAAATATTAAATTTATTATTTTAGAAGATATTTTTTGAAAATCTAAAAATAAAAAAAAAATACACTTTTAGATTTATTCTTGGAAATAATAAATTTTGGTGTTTTGAAAAATATTTTATAGAATTAATTATGAAAAAAATATTTTTGGAACACTAAATTTAATATTACAGAAAATATTTTCTTAAATACTAGATATAATATAATTTTTGAAAGTATGTTCAGGTACGTGTACTTTTTAAATATTAAATGGGTGCATGTAACATGGGAGATAGTGAATGCTTGGAAAAAATAGTTGAACATACATTGGAAGGTAAAGGAGAAGTGATGGAAATCACTTTGAGGAGTGGTTGATGTTTTCCTCTAGGCGCCATTTTCAAGTGTCCAATCTTTTCTTGAAGTTGAGATGTGAATTTGAAACAAGGTTTCACGTTTCAAAAGCTTAGAGAAGCAACCATAGAAGTACCAAGGTATAAAGGAAGGATTTCTTTGTGAAAAAGTTTAAGGAGAAGATGTTTTTCTCGGATTTGGACCTTTGAGGGAGAGAGGAATTTCTAAAAATTCAATCTCATAAATGTTCAAAAGTGAGTACAATGGTAGGAGAAAGGTTTATATAGAGTAGGGAAACTTGTGGAGCAAGCTAAACTAACCATGGTTCAAGGGAATCATGGTTGGCTTAACTTGACCGTCCACTATGGTTTGGGAGGCTTGTAAAACAAGCTTTTAACTTAGTAGCTTAGGAAGCAAACTAAGTTAGAAGCTTGTAGCACAAGCTTCCCAAGTGTGCAAGGAAAGCTAGTGAATTCGGCCATGAAATTAGGCTAGCGGCCAAGGCTCCAAATTCCATATTTAATCCAATCCAAAAATTTGGAATTGGTTTATTAGTTAGGTTCACCAAATGGCGGTGAGACCTAGCTAAATCAATATCTTGGAAAATATGGAGCAAAACAAGCCCAATATGTAAAATTTGGCCTAAGCCCAATTCTCACTTAATTACTAGTTGTACTTACACACTTTACTAATTGTCACCCTGCTTTTACTATTGAAAATACAAAAATGAATGACCCATAATACAATGTCAAATGGAGCAAAAGTTTATAAGTAGCCTACCTTAAATTCTTAAAAAAATGTCATATATCAAAAGAAAGAAAGTGTCTCACAAATACAAAGGTAAAATGAACCTATACAAGAATTATTATGTATAAAGGATATGAAAGGTCCTCAAATTTAACCCATTCCTCTTGGTTCTTTTAATGTATCACCTCTTGATCTTTTTAGTCTGGGCATGATTACATCAAGAAGGCTCTGAAGTCAAAAAAATTAGAAAATAAATATAAAATTTTGAGGGTATTTTGAAAAAAAAAATATTGAAGGTGTATTATTAATAGGGGATGGTGCTTTAACAAATCTCTATTAATACTCCTTGTATGAGAATGGATCATGTTCTCAAGGTTCTAGTGGGTAATAATCAAATGAGTTTAAAAGTACATAGACTATTCTACTTGTAGACGACTTAAATTGGTCATAGCTTGTGTGGTAGATCATAAGGCAATAAAGACTTGTTAGTACGTCGGTATGAAAAGTCTATGGTACGAGTGGGCAATGAGTTGGATTTTTCATCTCCAATGCAAGAATACTACATCTATAAGAAATAAGAATACTCACTATACTTTCATCGTTCCATCAACTAAGTTACAACTTAGACACTCATAGAGGAAAAAATTTGTCCAACTTACTCTTGTGGAGCAAATTCTACTCATAGAGGAAAAAATTTGTCCAACATACATTATTTGCTAAGCAAATTACCAAAGGCCTTGGAGTATAAGCCAAAATTTGCTAAGTCAAAATGCTTGGCTAAGCAAACCTCAACCCCATTTTCCATATAAGCAAAAATTTTGTTGAGCAAAAACTCTTCGTTGAACAAATTAAAAGCCTTTTATCACCAAAGCAAAAACTCACTCATTGAGTATTAAAAATACATATACCCATAGAGGCTAAATTTTGTTTGGCTAATACATATATCCATAGAGGCTAAATCTTGCTTAGCCAAATATTTTGCTAAACGAAAAGTGAAGGTCTCAAAATCGATCAATTGCTTGGTAAAAAAAAAGTGATTCATTAAATCAAAATTTGTGATCTTTATAACATTTCACTTTTGGTAAGGAAAGGTGTTTTACTAAGCCAAAATTTATGGTTTAAAAGAACTTTAACCTTAGTCCTTTTATCCCATGAGATTTTATTGAGAAAAAATGGGTTGTTAAGCGAGAGAGCTAGAAAACTGACTCATGTAAAAAATTTTCAGTGGCACCCACCACTCTCTTTTCAGCTCACAACTTTAAACACAAATCGCAAATGTCTAATCCTTAGAAAATTACTACATATAACCACAATAAATCAAGATTTAACCCTCCAAGGACAAAACCCAAAAACTTAACCCCTTAAGAAGGAGAAATCAACCAAATCTTCAACAAAAACACCTCAAATTCACATCTTTACTACACATACAACTTTGAGAATAAAGTTATAATGAATCAAGCTTTCTTTACCTCAAAATATCTTACTAAAAGTTAGAAAAGAAAGTGAAAAATGACCTAAAGTTGAAATATTAGCTTCACTCAACTTCTTAATGATAATCTTTCTCTAACTACACAGGGTTTAGACCTAGGACTTGGAGAAATATCATAGATTTATGAAATGATCAAGAGAAAAAAAGGTCTTTTCATCGATTAGAATCCTTTTAATTTATCTTTTTAGAATCTTAAGAAATGAACATATAAATTTTCTTTTTTATTCTAATCTAATCCTCTTCTATTCTAACTCCACTATATCTTCTTTTATAATATCGCAACTTAATTATAAAGTTCTCTCATCACTAACCTATTTTAAGAAATATCAAAGTAAATCATATAATAATATATAACACATAAAAACATAAAAGAGTTACAGTGTTACATAACCTGATTGTAATTGTATTAAAAAAAAGTTTAATTTGTTTAATTCTTATAATTCCACAAATTTTACTTTTTAATGTCCATAGTTCAAAATATTTTATTTTATTTTTATATATGTTATTTTTGTTTCTTTTTAGCTATGCTAGTTTTATAAACTTTACATTTTAGTTTTTTATAACAAAGATTAAAAGAAAACAAGAATGACATGTATAGACACTAAAATGAAACATTTTTTTTAGTTTAAAAATGTATTTGAGAGAAAATGTTTTTACTGAAGGTGATCAACTAGATTTTCTAATTAAAGTTGATTATTCACTAAGATATTAAATATTTCATATGTACTTAAAAAATAAAATATTTTTAATTATAAAAATTAAACAATAAGATTCATAAAAATTATAAGGAAAAATAAAAGCTAATAACCTAACCGAAGCCGCTAGAGCTTCACCCTGCATCCAAATGATGTTGCTAACGTTGTAATGATTCCTTAAAAAGACGGAAAAGTGGATGACATGGACAAACCAACGTCTATAAGGCCAGCGTTAGAACTCGTGTCTTCTTAACCTCAACCACCTCCGCTTCCGGTCAAGCTCAGTCCACTTTCGATGCATCACGCCACACACTCCGCCGCCGAGATCTCTCCGGAGACGAGGCCCGCCGGGAACGACGCTGCTGCTGCTGCTGGGCCCAGGCAGCCCACGATCAAGATCAACGTTTGGCACGGTACCTGTCACCACGAGCTCCACCGCCCGGCCCAATCAACTTTCGGTTAGGTTTCTTCTCTTTCAATCCATGGTAACCTCATAGTCATAGATATTATTATTATTATTATCATAATTCGCGAACTTTATTTTTTATTGGACTCGAATATGCCGAGTGTTGTTTGCGTTGCTTGTGCCTGAAGAGTACATGAGAGATTACTCTTTGGCTCTCGTAGTAGGGATATTTCAGGTTCACACACCAAAAAAAAAAAAAAAAAATTTGCGCGTGAAGGGAAAAATTAGAATTTCCTGGAATAGGGTTTCAATGTTTCATCTTCGAGTGACACGTGTTAAAGAGATATTGGTGGAGTTTAGGGAACATTAATTGATAAATGTGCGGGATATGTTTATGATCCTATTTAACAAGCTCTTGAACTTTTGTACGGGAAAGATGAGCTCTTGTTAATGAAAAAGTGGAGTTCTTTCGTGTTAGTTAATGAAAGGAAGTGAGAAAATATATACTCATGTGGTGGTTTCTGGACCTGTTTTTCTACTTTTGCTTGAAAAATGTGATATGACACAGTTAAATTTGTTATAGTCTATTTATTTAGATTATTTAACTGCATAGGAATTTTGATAGTTATGATAGCTCTGTTGTTGTAACGATATTAGATCTGGAGAAGTGCAAGTAACTGGGGCGATTGTTATGCTGAAATGAATGTTCCAATCAAGGAATACTCTACAGCATTGTAATAGTTTCTTAAGAATGAGTGAAAATTGACTATCTGAAAGTTTACTTGCTTCCGTTGATTTGGTGCTGTGATTTTGGTTTTTTAGAAATAGGGTGGATTGAACTAATTCCTTATGACATTATTGGAAATGGTTAGCATATAACTCGGGCATGTAATTCTATTTTCTCAGTAACAGAGTCAGCAGCCTATGGGAAAATTTATAATTTTCCATTTGTTTCAAGTCGTCCCTTAACTTTATTTGCATAAAGTTTTTGTTATTTTTCTTCCATCAACATGATGCTTATTTACTTGTTGGCTCCCATTAAACACATGTTCAAAAGACAAAAACTAACTAAAACTCTAAAAGTGTTATGTTTATGGTCATTTTAGAATTTGGTCATGTAACTTGCTTCATCTAATGAGATTGGACTTTTCTTGTTGTATTCGGAGGAAAGGAAGAATTTTCGAGAAAATTTGATGATTTTACTTATTACTTCTTGGGGAGTGGATTTATTGAAAGTTTAGGGACCTGAAGCACACTACTTTGACTGAACAAGCCTGACTTGCTTCTGTACCTGTTCATTTTGTTTGAGAGCTTTATCATGCATCATGATATTGATTGTTTCTTCCTCTAAAATAAGTTAAAGGAAGTTGGTGGTTGATTTAGAAATGGCATATACTAGTACAAAATATTAAACCAGGTGTTTTTAATACAGAAAATTGAATAATTCCCAATTGAAAAAACTACTCTAATGTAAGCTTGTCGGCTAAGTGAGCAAATAAGGGTTAAAATAATAATGCAGTTTAAATTAATTCAAGGATGAACACCCTTGGACATTTAAGAGACAAACTTAAAAAGGATATGGAAAGGAAACATGTCAAGTCAGATTTAGATAAATAGACTCTTATAACAAATAGAAAGATAATGAAAGATCTCGATATGAAAAATAGAAGATAGCTTAGATCATTTAAGAGACCTATGGCTATAAATCCAATCCGATCCCACACCCCATTGTTGCTTGTTTCTCTCCTCTCCACCCCTTCCTTTGTATTGCACTCCTAGTAACTGAGTATGCCCCCTTGTTCCATCTGCCATGTGAGCAGCGTGGACCCACATCATACTTATCACAATCCTTTCCCCTGTGGTCTAACATATTCTATCAATTGTATATGTGTTTGCATAACAGGGTCGTTCCTACTGTTTTCATACTTATTATCTAAGTAAAATTGCCCTGCATTATGTCATTGATCATTTCTTTGTCTGGAGTATGCTTGAGGTAATTGATGCCTGTCTTAATAGTGTCATATAGTGAGTACTGTAGGAATATAGTATATTCTGTTTTCATTGATATATGTATTTATCTTATTTGGGTTTTCAATAACAGGGGATGTTAAGAAACTGCTTGTCAATAGAACTGGTTTAGAGCCTGAAGAGCAGCGACTTTTCTTCAGAGGGATAGAAAAGGGTGATGATGAGCAATTGCACCTCGAAGGTGTAAAGGACAAGTCAAAGATATTGCTTTTGGAGGGCACTGCTAGCAAAGAAAGGAAACTTGAGGAAACCAGAAAACAAAATGAGATGTCTAAAGCTTTTGAGGCTATTGCTGGTGTCAGAGCTGAGGTGGACAAGCTCTCAAATAGGGTGAGCATGTGTTTGTAGTATAAGTACTATACTTATTGTAGAAACATATCAATTGGAAAATGAATGTATGAATTATTTTTATTTTCAGGTGACTGCCATAGAAGTAGCTATCAATGGTGGGAACAAAGCTTCCGAGAAAGAGTTTCTTGTGTTGACAGAGTTGCTTATGAGTCAATTGCTGAAACTGGATGGTATTGAGGCTGAAGGTGAAGCGAAGTTGCAGAGAAAAGCTGAGGTAGTATTTATGACATAAAGTTGCAAAGATGAAATGTAAATTATTTATCTGTTTTTGTTGTTTTATTTCCCCTCTATTTTATGCAATCTCATATATTGGTCAGTCATGTCTGATAAGATCCCTCAATTTTACTAAATAAAGCAGTTCATGGAATTATGTGAAGTGTTTTTCACCAAGATGCGTTGCGCATCAAGGTCTGCCTTGTGATAAGTTTGCATTAAAAAATATGCTGATGAAAGATCAGTTGGATAATAAAATCATTAATCGGCTTGATAAAATCGGTGGTTCAAATACTGATTAGGAAGAAGAAATGTACCAGGTTCTAGCCCAGCAGCCTAAAGGGCATACAATACAGAAGGCTTACACTGGGAGAAGAAATAGAAAGGTGCCAGGATAGTTATTTAAATGAAATGTCTGAGAGGTGGAGTTCGTGTGGCTGAGGTTTTATGGTTGGGGTGATGCATGGTGTAAGGATTCTCTACATTGATTATTATTCATTGAGTTGGGCAGAGAATATGGATTCTCTGATGAGCTGTAGCTGCAGTATTTGGTACTGTAACTAATAGCTGATTGTTTTTTCTTTCAATAGAAATTCAGTAACCAGAATACTTGTGGATTGTAATCACAGCTACCACAAACAGTAAATAGAAATGGAAATTTAAAGGTGAGGGTCAGCTACCAGTCCGAAGTCTGTTCAGTTCCCATCCCAGTTGTGATTTTGCAATATCAATCCCAAATATTCTTTGATTCATCTTGCCTCTCCTAGCTAAAATTACTGGCACTTGTCTTCAATACTTGTCTCTCCAAGCTACCAATTAATATCTTTGCAGCTCGAACAACAACATCCACATAGCAGTTTTACAAGAGAGCATAATATAATCTCACTTAAATCTTTCGATACATGAGTGAATAAGCCAATGTAAGCATGACTCAAGTACAAGAGAATACTCCACAAAAGCACAAATAACTCTTGATTTGTTCCAATTTTTGTTCATTTTTTTCTCTCTTTTCTCTTCTGTTTTCTTTTCAATAATGCTGGACATTTAAAGAAATTTTAGGCAAAGTGACATTAGAGCTGGTCCAACTGGAAAGAGAGATTTTTTCAAAAGGTGTTGTCCTCAGGCAAGATGGTGGCTGTCCTTGAGCCAGCCATCCTGTCCTGACCCTTTTGCTTCTAAAATTTTGCAGCACAAATTTTGGCCTCACTAATTTCTTCTAGAAGATTCTCGAACATTATGCAGAGATATTTTGCACGATGAAAATTTTCTGACAGGCTACAGACAACTATCATTTTCATTAATTATCTCATCTTGAGTTTGTTTGAGAACCAGTTGTTGAGTGATTCTTACTTCCTTAGTTTTGGTCTCCACAACAGCTCATATATAGATTGCTTCCATAGTAATTCTTTTGATTTGTTAAGTATTTGTATAAAGAATAAAAAAATACTTGATTGTTGTATTACTTTGATAGCTTATTCATTTTTTTTTTTGTCAAAGTTAAGTGTTTGTACGTGATTGCTTACGTTACAGATGTCACGCTAGTCTTCCCTCTTCCTAACTTTGGTCTGACCCAGATCCCACTGATGATGTTAGTATCACATTGGAGTACGGCTTGCGAGTGGTAGTGATGTGCCTCGAAATTTGAAATGTGAAATATGTTATTTGTCAGCGTTAATTTCTTTATCATCTGACTTCTAACCATTTCCTTTGCTTGGAGTTAAGAAATTTATTTGTTTAATGTTGGAAATATCGTCCTCTATTTCGGTAATTATTTTTAGTAAATTACACAATCTCTTCATGTATTGCTTCTTAAAATTGTAAAGCACATTTATTTTGGATGCAATATGTAGATCTATATATTGCATCAACATTGCGATTATTGCCTGCGGTGAACTTAAACTAGCTTTTGCACCATTGAACAGGTGAATCGTGTGCAGAACCTTGTGGATAAATTGGATTCTCTAAAGGCAAGAAACTCCAATCCATTTAGCAACAGTGGTAATGCTGCCACAGTAACAACCCAATGGGAAACCTTTGACTCTGGAATGGAAGGCTCGGATTCCCCATCTGATAAGTCATCCTCAACAAAAATAACTCAAGATTGGGAGCGGTTTGATTAGCTCTGGCTCATATATTGTTTTGGAATATTTTGAATCACGTACAACACCACATAGTTGCCCTTGCCCTTCATCCTTCGTTCAAGATTCATTTTTTTTTGTTTGCTTTAGAGGTCTTGGTGCAACGGCAACACCATTGCCTTGTGATAAGAAATATTCTCTCCGCTCAGAGGTAAAGCTGCATATGTTTAATCTCCCGGGTGCACTTAGTTTTAGGGAAAACATGTAAACCAAACTGTATGCTTGAATAATATTATTGCATCTTCAGATCTTTTTGGTTTGGTCTTCTGTTTGTAAAGTTGTTCATAATTTGTGCTTTTATTGGTGGCGTTCATTTCAACTTAAATCTTTAAACAACTTTTATTTCGTTTTCTGCATGGGTTGCGCTGCACTGCCTCAAAATATACTTTTTCATTCACCACTACAATAATTTAATAAGTTTTCTTTCACTGAGATATCCTTTAAACCGCGGGAACGTGGGACGATAGTTTTACGTTATAGTTGCTTGCGATAAGTGTGATTGTTGAAATAGTGGTTGCAGTGCCCTTTAGCTTTCTGATTGCCTCTCCCATTGTGTTACGCTGAGAGCATCTCCAACGGGGTTGTTTAAAAGCAACTTTCTGTATCACATTACTGCTAAATTAATTCTGGCTTACTTTATGGGTTGTTTAAATTTTAGCAGAGTTGTTTGTAGAAGCTATTCTGCTAAAATTTAAGTAATTTATAAAGTGGACCAGAGCTGACGTGGCAATGATGTGGCATAAGAGTTGTTTAGAGATAAGCTACAATCTACTCAAAGATAAAACTAGAATAATTCATTTCATATTTCAACATGGAGAATTACAATTCCCTTATAAGGGTGTGAACAAACATAACAGAAAATGAATTCTGACACGGTGTTAGGCACAGCTCACAGAAAACCGACACGACCCAGTCGATGGATATTCCAACAATGGCACGACCCAACACCCAACCATGATGCGTCCCAACACGACACGGGCATGGTTCAACAATCTGACAAGCTCCAATTCAGGATTTTAAAAAAATATTTAAAAAAAGAAATAAAGAAGACGATTGTTTTCTCTTCTCTTTTTATTTAACCATCACGTAAGAGAACCAAAGACGAATTGCTTCTTCGACGACACTCGGCCAAATCGGTCGGAACCAACCGAAACGTCGTTGAGATTCCATCTACTGTGCAAATCAAATTGCTATTCCGAATAACTGTAATGTCGTTTAACCTCCATCCATCGTGTAAGTTGAACTACTATATCGTCGTGGCATGATAAAGTCTTCTCTTTTTTCATTTTCTCTAATTTCTGATCACTGAAAATGGAACCTTTTTTTTACGTCTTTCTTTTTCATTTTTTCTAATCACCGTGCAACTGTTATATTGTCAGTTTATGAACAATGCTCTTGGATGAGTAGATGATGCATCTTATATTAAAAGCTTTGTCATGAGACATTCGATGAGATTATTGATGTTCAACAATTTCAACACATTAATTTATTAAAGTTGTTTTACTGTATATTGCAAGATTTGCTTCAACCATAGTAATGCTTAGGAGGTTTAGAAAATTGAAAAAGGGACTCCAAGAGATGGTCAGTGATCAATGGTATATACTAGCTTTCACCCATCCTATCAATAAGGTTCTTAGAAAAACTGATGTGGATGCGCTTCTCTTCACTTGGTGCATGAAATGTGGGATTTTATAATTGAAAAAGTGAGAAAAGTCATGTACCAACATGAACGGAAGGAAAAAGTGGATGAACACTTCATTCTCTTGCTCATTCTTTGAATCAAGTTAATATATTATATCCTTAAATATATATATATATATATATATATATATATTTATATTTATATTTTCAAAGTTTATTTTTTACTAAATTGCACTTTTAGTCTTTTTATTTTTTATTTGCCTATAATTTGTCTTATTTTAAAATAAAGACATTTAGTCCTCTTTTTTTTAAAAATATGGAATTATGGCCCTATCATCAATGTGATGTTCATTGATCATTAAATTTTGACATTATTTGATGATATGTCATTATTTAAGTGATTTGATATTTACTAATGTGATATATAAGGATAAAAATAAAAAATAATATACAAAAGATCTTCATTTATATCTAATTTTACGAATGATTGATATTTATTTTATTAATAAAAATCTTTTTTACATATATATATTTTTAATTTTTTTTATTTCTAAATGTCATATTACTAAACGTTACATTACTTAAGTTAAAACTTAACAATTAGTAGATGTTAATTTAATAGGAGAACTGAAATTCTATATTTATAAAATTAGAGGGACTAAATGTCTCTATTTTAAAATAAAGAAACCAAAATTACAGGTCGATAAAAATGGAGGGATAAAAAGTATAATTTGGTCTTTATTTTTTTATATGCATTTTTATAAATTGGTTATATTAATCTATGATTTTTTTTAAAAAAATTGTAGATATTATAGTCATGAATGACTAAGTGAAGATTCACATAGACTCCTCCAACATTAAGATGTGGAACTTACTATTGAAAGGAACAAATGCTTTAAAAGGTACTTTGTTGATTTAGATGTAAGGAGATAAGTAAATTTGGAGTTTGCAAATTTTTTCGATAGAAGAGAAGACTTTGATGATGTTGAATCTTTAAGCGATAGAGGTCAAATTGATGCAAAATCTTGGTGGCTAGTTCATGGTGTTCATGTCCCAACACTTTCATAGATTGCCCTTAGACTACTTGGACAATCGTATTTGTACCATCCCAGTCGGGGGCCAACTGTACTTCTTTAAAGTTATGCCCCCCCTTTTTGTTTTGGGGTTCATTCGCCTAAAATCCGAGTGGGCTTCCTTGGATGAGCCAGGTCGGTCGTAGTCCGATTCCGCTCTTCTATAAGAGCATACTCGGCCAATACTCGACTGGTCTTCTCTACATTGCTCGGTCGGGGGCCGATCTGACCTCCCCATATACGAGCCATCCAATGGCAAGGGCAAGACCCCACCTCAATCACCAAATATCCTCCGAATAAGAACAGTTAATGAAATCCCCAAATTCTCGGGGCCCAGGAATAAAACCTAAAACCCTAGAGTTAAGAAGGTCGATTACACCTTTGAATGCTCTAACTTTAAGGCTTGACCTAAGAAGAAACCCTAGTCCACCCCTTGGCCAAAACATTTTGGCGCCCACCGTGGGGCTACAGTGAAACTTTCC